TCAAACAACATGCAAACTAAGAGCTGGAATCACAATTTCAAAGCACTTCCACATAGAGTCTATAATTTTTGAATTACTTTTCTTCTTCTTTTTTCCTCAATACTTACCTTGTCCCCCAACAGAAAAATTTCTAATTATGTCCCTTGATTACTACTAATGTATATTTTTAATACAATACTGACAATAAAATTAACATATCAAATAATAAGAGGAGAAGATAAAAATAAATGATGATTTTTATTCTTTTTCTAAACTTTCATAACTTTTTGAGAGAGAAGGAGAGAGTCGCATGCATCTTGCAACCTAGGCAGAGGTTTGTTATTTCCTTCTGAATCCGAAAAGTATATTTAGCTTTTAACTGTTCCACTTAGGAATGCAGAGAGAGAGAGAGAGAGAGATGAAAGGCTATTACAATAACCAACTTATTTTGATGATAATGCTCCTTTGTTTCACTTTCCCCAATTCATTCTAATCGTTCGATCATTGCATGGTTGATGAGAGATTTGGTCCATAGGACTCTTGCCCACTATTTCCATCAACTAACTTCTCACTATTTTTCCGTTTAAAAAAAACTTCATACTATTTTGACAACTCAATATTCAATTTATAAAATCGATTAATTTGAGATACCAATCATATTGATCACTTGCAGATATTCTAAATTTTAAGAGACCAATCACATTGACCACTTGCAGATATTCCAATTAAAGCCAACGCACAACTCCGTATGAACTGACTCCAAGAAATTATTTACACTTATGAGATTTTGAAGCTAAAACCTTAGAGGGAGTACAAACCCTATAAGCAGCAAATGGGCGGATATGAAAGGATTTGGAAGGATCAAAACAGGTTATATATCTAAAACAATTCATCCCAAACCAAACCATTTAATAAATGAGCTTAAATGGGTTGGACAAATAAACCTAACCAATTCATTTATTTCATTTCTCTCTCTCTCTCTCTCTCTCTCAAAAATATTTATTTTTATTTTAAAAATATTTTTTATTTAAAAAAAATTATTTTCATCATTTATTTTTAAAAATATTTTTATTTTTTAAAAAATATATTGTTATTTATTTTTATTTTTTAGAAATATATTTTTTCTATATTTTTTTATTTTTTTGTAAAATTATTATTATTATTTTAAATATATTATATTAATTTTTTTATTTAAAAAATATTAATTTTTAATTTAGTTTTATGTTTTATTTTTTAAACAAAAATAATATAAAAGGGGGAATTACTTAACATTGGGACAAGAAAAAAAAAATTACAAAAACATTGGGGTGCAAGTGATTCTATGATGATGTGCAAGTAAAAAACTATGGAGGTGCAAGTGATTCCATGTTTGGGTTTTTATTTTTTATTTTTTATCTATCCAACTCGTAAGTAATTCCCCCTATAAAAAAAATTAAGAATTGATATTAGAAGTGGTGCCCATTTAGACGGACTTAAATGAGTATCCATGTCCAACTCATGTAAATCTAATTTTGATTGGATTGACAATGAGTAGCCCATTTAAGCCCATTTGTTAATTTCGGTGGATTAATATGAGTTTTAAATGGGTATGATTGGGGTGCAAGTGATTCTGTGATGAGGTGCAAGTAAAAAACTATGGAGGTGCAAGTGATTCCATGTTTGGGTTTTTATTTTTTATTTTTTATCTGTCCAACTCGTAAGTAATTCCCCCTATAAAAAAAATTAAGAATTGATATTAGAAGTGGTGCCCATTTAGACGGACTTAAATGAGCATCCATGTCCAACTCATGTAAATCTAATTTTGATTGGATTGACAATGAGTAGCCCATTTAAGCCCATTTGTTAATTTCGGTGGATTAATATGAGTTTTAAATGGGTATGATTGAGAGGGTTCATGGATTTGGGTTGGGTTTGCCACCTCTACCCAAGCCAACCCTTTGAGGTTAATAAGTTATCACCGTAAATAAATTACGCAAGATTTTCTATTTCTAAATATCATCGTTCATTTGTCTCAATAATATACTTTCAATCATTGAATTAAGCAACAAAATTCTTTATATCTTCAATTTTTCACATAATTTTATGATTGACAGTACTTCAAGACATAAACAAATGATCTTTAACCTAATTAAATAAATTGAATCAATAACTCTACATACTTAGAAAGAAAAATGTCTACAAAAATATTCAGAATTTGAAACATATGAATCAAATTTATTTTAAATATGCTCCAAACTCACAAAATTTCAATATACTATACATTCAAATTTTAAATATTTTTCTGAGTGGATAGCATTCGTTTGGTTCCAGTTAATCAGTGGGGATCAAGAACGCAACTGAATGAAAAAATGGTTCCATGCATGCAATCAACTTAGTTTATTAATTGACTTTATTCCTTAAGAAGACAATATGGTACACTGTTGGTGACGTTATACAAGGAATAGTGTTATTTAAATAAATAATGTTTAAAATTATGGGTGAAAAACATACAATTAGCTAATCTCACATTTTAAACATAATTACATTAATTTTTTTTTTTTAATAATGTTAAAGTGAGTAAAACTAATGTAAATGGCAGGTAAAAAAAAATTATTTTTTCCACCATTCCACCAACCAATTGGTGATGAAATGACTTAATTATTATATAAATTAAAATCTTAAAAAATATCTACTTACATTTTTCCCTAGCCTCAAGAGAGGTAAGTATGATTTATCCTGAAATTATTATACAAATATCATATCGTCTACTGCTTTCATTATTTTGAAAACATAAAAAGCTGGTTATTATGGATTATAATTGAAAGTATGCCATTGCCAACAACAATTTAGAAGGAGATTTTATATAAAACTTCTCATTGTTTAGCATGTTTTCTTATAGTGTAATCATTGGTGTCTCACCTCACCTTGGCTCGAATGGCTCGAATTTTTATTCACCGGTCGTTCGACAAAAAGGCTGACAGCTGTGGTTGTCACTTTGTCGACCGCGGCTGTCATACTTTTTGTCGGACGACCGGCCGGATGACCAACCAGACGATCGATGAATAAAAATTCAAGCCATTCGAGCCAAGGTAAATTCGAGGCCGGTAACATTGCTCTTTCTTATATCATATGACATTCTTAATTATATTTCTTTAAAAAAAAAAAAAATGACAGTGTTACATATGGTACTAATGATGGAATAAATGCTTACAAATTTAACATGATTAAACGTACGGCACAACGGTGTGGTACACATTGGAAGCCTTATCATGTTGCCATATATAGAGGGAGGATATGATTGAGACAATAATACCAACAACAACAGCCCTTCGATTATACTTGGCAGATTGAAATTTTTGATTTCCATGATTATCTGTACAATACTTGTATATTCTTTTACGCGTACAGAATTCGATAAATGTCCTACATATCTGATAAAATAGAATTTATGTGATGTGACTGAATTTTGTACATTTAATATTTAAAAATATACGTATATATTATACCTATACCAGTTTTGCACCTTTTTTTTTTTTTGCTGCATATAGAGAGCAAGGAATTAGACTCAAGTATACTCATTAAGAGCAATGTTTGATAAAATTTAATTTTTTATATCAAAATTTTTTTTTTTTTTTTGTTACTTCTAAACACAGAATAAAGGAGTCCATAAGTTACACTAATAGTAAAAAATTTAAAAAAATTACTAAAAAACCAAAAAAACTAAAAAACTATACAAAAAAATTCTAAACCCTAAGCCTTAAAAAAGTCAAATTAAGACTTGGTTTTCTCTCTATCTTTGTACTTTTTTTCGTAAAAAATTAAAAAAATCATCCTAATTATATTAATTTTTTTCACCTTATATTTTAATTAAAAAATTAAAAAGTTGCTAAAATAACTTATTTCCAAGCCAACCTAAGTGAAAAAAATAAGTAAAAAATAAAATTAGATGTAATTTTTTCATTGATTAATGTGAACTTCATTGCCAAAGTGTCCATTTATGTACACTACTCTTCCTTTTTCTATTTGATATTTTTCCATCACAGGTTTCAAACCAAAAAACGAAAAAGTTCCAAACAATCAATAGATCTAACAACTCTTTTTTTTTTCATCAGTCAAAAAGAAGATAAACATTATTAATGCGCCAAAAAGAGTTACACTAACAAAGGGGAAGAAGGCAACGCATAGAAAATGCACCATAGCAAAGATAGCTCATCCAACTAGGTTGGTACTAGAAGAATTTACACCGATTTAACAACTTATTACTTAATTTCACACAAGACAGCAAGAAAAAGAAAGAGAGTGAGAGAGAGAGAGTAAAAAGAGGCTAATCACCCCAGATTCAACATTAAGTTCTCTCACAAGGTGTGTAACACTGTAACTACACCTCTGTGAGGAAAATCTCAAATTTTTCTACAACTCCAACCCATAAAAATATATTCATGAATTTTGGGTTAGAGTAAAAAAAAAGAAACCTACAATAATAAAGAAAGATGTTAAAAAAAAGAGAAGCAGTGAGAAGCTGCTCACCCCTTACTTCTGATTATCAGCTTCTGCTGTGGATATGTTAATTTATGGTTATACTCTTAAATTTTTTTATTTTTTATTTTTTAAGAATAGAAAAAGACTCAAATGGATTATAGGTTATTATTATTATTTTTTATGAGAAATGTAGACAAACAAAAAATAAAAATTAATTGAAAAAGCTACTTCACAGCTTATTTAACAAACACTACTCAGCAACTTAAATCTATAATCCAACAGCTACACCAAACAGGTTAACAACTTCTAATTAAAGTCATAATTTATAATCTGTTAAACTATAATTTATAAACTGTTATAACAGTTACACTAAACGGGGCTAAACATTATTAATGCGCCAAAAAGAGTTACACTAACAAAGGGGAAGAAGGCAAGGCATAGAAAATGCACCATAGCAAAGATAGCTCATCCAACTAGGTTGGTACTAGAAGAATTTACACCGATTTAACAACTTATTACTTAATTTCACACAAGACAGCAAGAAAAAGAAAGAGAGAGAGAGAGAGAGAGTAAAAAGAGGCTAATCACCCCAGCTTCAACATTAAGCTCTCTCACAAGGTGTGTAACATTGTAACTACACCTCTGTGAGGAAAATCTCAAATTTTTCTACAACTCCAACCCATAAAAATATATTCATGAATTTTGGGTTAGAGTTAAAAAAAAAAAAAAAAAAACCTACAATAATAAAGAAAGATGTTAAAAAAAAGAGAAGCAGTAATTCAACAGCTTCATCTTAGCCATCTCTCTCTCTGTCTCTCTGCGCAAACAATTTATCAAACAAGAACACAATCTCTCTCATCTGAGCATTGAAGTTAGAGATCGAAAAACCACTTCTTCACAAGGAATAGTGAGACCCATATCATGATCAAAGCCAAACTCTTCTTCGGCACAGCGAAGAAGGCACTGGAACTCAGGGTGAGTCAAGAATGAGATTGGGACTATGTATCTGCTTCTGTTCTCTCCAACATACACTGCAAAATGGCCTTTTGGCACGTCGAGAGGAAGCCCGGTGACACTGTTGTCGTCGTCGTAGATGTGTTTCTTTCCCAAGCTTGAGCATCTTCTGAGGATTTGTTTGAGAACTGTTGGTTGAGGTAGTTTGTTTGGTTTTCTAATGGCCATTTTTAGGGGTTTTTTTATTTTTTTTTTGGGAGTTTGAGACAAGTTGTGGGTTTTGTGACTAGGAAGGTACAAAAAAAGGGAGTTTGAGATGGACCAGTGAGGGAGGAGTGGAGGTGGTGGTGGTGACGATGAAGGGGTAGAGGGGGGTGTGAAGGGTATTTATGAAGAAAGTTGAAAGTGAGAGAAGATTTATGAAGAAAGTTGAAAGAGAGAGAGGAGTCCTGTGGGGGTGTGGCATCTGTGGGGGAAGAACAGAGCAGGGGTGTTTTAGGGGTTGTGTTTAGGGGGGACAAACGTCGGACTCAGTCCGTATTACATAATAATGTTTTGAAAAGTTAATAAAAAAGTTAATTTTTTAACATATTTTATTTTATTTTGTTTTTTTTTTAATAAAAAATGTAAGATGTGATGGAATTTAAGATGAGTAAAAAGTTAAAAGTTGATTTTTTTATTTTAACTTTTCAAAAGGCTAAATAATAAGAGATCTTATATTTTTTTTTTTTTTTTGATCGGCAAAAGGAAAACTTTATTGATGGAAAAGGAAAATTGCATCAATAAAGTGGAGCTTGGAGCTAAAACAAGCTCCAACCTCCAAGTTGGTGAGAAACCAACGAGCAAACACAACAGAAAAAAAAAACCAGAAAAATCAGATAGCTTAGGCACTACATCACCAAAAAAGGCACAGATTTTCTGAGCTATATGCCATGAACCCAATGCTTCGACCCACTCATCTCTATTGAGATCTGATGGGATGACAGCCAAAAACAAGAGATTCTCATTGGAGTATATAACAGCAGCAGACCCACTGTGTGTATCAAATATCAGAACCAGCATGCACCTAATTACTCAATTAGAACTACAACCCCCAGATAACAACAGCAGACCCATTGTAACCCATTGTGACTATCAATTAATCTTATATCTGTTTAAATTTAATTTGGTTCTATCCAAATTCGGTTTAGAAAATAATTATAAATTCCAAGCTCGTTCATCAAGTTATATGTTAAAAAAAATTAAAACATTCTACAATTAAATTTAATTACATATTATATTTTTTAAAATAAATATATTGACATCAATATAAATTGAAAGATTTTGCTTATGAATTGAATGATTTCTTAAATAAATTCAACCATTTATAATTTATATTATAAAATTACATTTTACTATAAATGTTGAGTTTAATAAAATTCAATAGGCGAAATAAAATTTAATTCTAATTAAAAAAAAATATATTTTTTTAATGTATTATAAATAATTAATTAATTAATTATTTAATAATTATCGCCAAGCTCAGAAAGTATTCATGAAATTAATCAACCCAACCCATTAATATTTCGACGAAAATATTAATCTAGCGACTTAAGTGGTGTTTTAAGAAAGTTGATAATAAAAATTAATTTTTTATTTTTTTAATTTTTTCTAATAATTTTTTTGATAAAAAACAACTTGAATTAATCTTAGATAAAGACTAATTTTTTTAATTAAATCTAAAAAATTAAAAAAACTTAAAAATTGACTTTTTTTTTTTTTTTGCCCTCGCTTGCCAAAACGGAGCTATAAACTAAACAATTTCTCCGATTCTAAAAAAATCAAAATGATTCATCCCATTAAAAATATCACCACTAATTAGGCACTAATGCATTTAAAAAGTAAATAAAAAAAAAAATACTACTCTAAAGACCAAAACACTCACATCATTAATGACGGACTCACTGCACTATTAGTCTCCCAAACATTTTTCTAAAAATATAAGATTGAAATCGATGTTGACCTATTGTGGTGTTTGTTGTGCAGGGACATGGTGGGGCCAAACCTATTGCGGTTACCCTTCCTTTGTAGGCCCGACCAAATGACACATGGACCACTTAGCTTGATATTCTCTCTATCCAATTTAATGTTCTCTAAACAAGTGTGAAAGAAAATAATAATACGCAATATGCACTATTATAATACACTAAAATATTAAGTTGCGTTGAATTTGATTTAGTTGTTCAATTTTTTTAAAAAAATTATTGTAAAATTACTTTATTAAGTAAACAATTTTAAATTTAAATACATTTTTGAAACTTATTAAATTTTATTCACTTAACTCGTTTAGCGAACTCAAATATTTGATGTAATTTCAAATTTTTTAGAGACATGAACGAAATATTTAAATTTCAGGCAAAAAATTAACTTTATTTTAACGAAAAATATTTTTCATTAAAACATACTTTACCGCCTACACCTTACCAATAAAAAAATAAAACTTTTTTTTCATTAAAATAAAATGAAACAAATAAATTTTCAACCTTAGTAACTAAAAAAAAAAAAATCAAAAATCAAAAAAAAATTGCCAGTTAACTACAAAAAAATAAATTCATTTTAAACAATAAATAATAAAACGACACTCGTTCACACCGCCACATATCCTAACTCTCCTCTTCGTATTTCTTCCTTCTCTCTTTCTGGCTCTTTCTATTCATCCGAATTGCCTCTTTCTTTCCCCCTCTTTTATTTCTCGCCATCTCATAAATCCCCAATCCCCTTAAACAAAATCACGTCCCAATTTTCACAAAATTTTACAACTAAATAGAGTCTCTCTTCTCCTTTCTCTCTCTCATGAGCTTGCACTTAGCTAGTGGCAGTATTGGCAGCAATAGCAAGAAAGGACGACAGCGAGCAACGACGGTGAGCAGCGACGTGACAACAGCTAGTGGCGGAGTGCGGCGGTGCGGGTCTCAGATATCTTTGCGATACCTTTGTCGTTGGGTGTTCGCCGGGCGATATTGGGGCCTCCTCACTGCGTTTGCGAGTGTTTTTTTTTTTTTTTTTTTGGTGCTTGTTTCTTCCTCTTGGTAAGCTTTCATCTCTCATGATATACAGAGTTTGTGTGGCCGTTGTTCCGTAATTTTGCTTTGCACAATAATAATCACAAGGGACCATCATTTGGGGGTTCGATTTGGGGATTTGATTCTGGGGTTTTCTTTTTTTTATTTCTTGGCTTGATCTTTTTTCCCTCTGTATTTTTTATCAAGTATGGCTCATTGGATTTGGGGTTTTGTCTCCGAATATACTCTATGTGGTGCTATGAAATATATCATAATCCACTCCATGGCTCCAGGCTTAGAAAGTATTTTATTGGAAAGGACTTGAATTTTGGATATGAATCTGTAGTGTGCTTGTGGTGGTCTACTCAGATTTTCGGTTATTTGCTAAGGGCTCTGTGTGTATGGTATGGATAAAATACCGCGCGATTTCGAAACCCTAAATTTGTTTTCTTTTATGCAAGTATGTCAGATGATGATCTTGTTTGCAACTTGATTGTATAGATCAGTCAGATTAGCTAAATTGAGTTATATGGTACAGTGTTTTATTGTACGTTGATTGCTTTTCCATTTTGGTATTACGCTTATGACACATATTTCTTTGTTGAAACAATTGATATAACTTATATTGATTGTGTAAACAGTGAGAATTATTTTCTCTATTTTTGACAACCGCCTAATTAGTTTTTTATTTTCTATTTTGGGTATTATTATAATATTTTATAGAGGTAATTGTGAAAGAAAATAGGTCACATGGTAATACTCTATTTCACAGACAGTTTGGCTCAGAGAATTGATCCAGACCCGATTAAGTCGCAAAGGGCATAAGGCTTTGGCTGTTGGGCATTAAAGCCTGGAACTTCATTAGATGTTGTAATCTTACTGGTAAAGCTTTAACCATATTTATTGTTCTTTTCAAGTTTCTCAAGTTTTGCTATTACCTGGCTTTTCCCTTAATGAAGTGGAGTTAAACTGAAGTATTTAAACTAAAGATTATTTGACCATTGTTGTGAAAGTAGAAACAAAAGCATGTTTCTGTAACGGAGTAAAGTTACACCAAATTAAAACAAGAGATTGTTTGATACCCTTACATTTAGGCACTTATTTCTCTTTCCTAGTTCCGCAGCTTGACAATGAAAATCCCTGTGGAACATGTTATTGTGATGATTGTGGAACCTGGATTTGGTGACAAAGTTCACTGGTCAGAAATGATAGATAAGGTGCGTAACAACATCGTTATTCTGTATTGATGTGTTAATTCATCCTTCTCATTTCCACAGTCCATAAATGTGGTTTTTGGGCAACACACACCTCAAAAGAAGTACCCATCACTTGGATTACGAGGTAACAGCCTATTTCTAACTGTGATGCTTTCGTCATCTTATATCTGCTTGTATTCCTTATCCAGTTGCTGTTTCTCTCTAGTCTACACAAAGTTACCCAAAACTCTCTTTCCAAAACAACCAAATGCAATTTAGGAATTTTTTACCCTAAAATGTTATTGGCAAACATCTAGGGATGCAATTCTTGAAACCCCATACAGAGATATTTTGGAAACACTTGACCATTGTGTTGCTGTTATAATTTTTACGAACTTTCAGAAAACACATTATGAAGTTTGTTTTATAAGGAGAAAGACCTATCTCAATACTGACGGGCGGGGTTTCAACTAGATTTTCTTATTATGTTTATAGGGAACAGTTCAAGGATTTAAAAGTTTTAAGATTCATATTACAATTGGAGATTATAACGTTCTTGATCTTAATTAAGGATGTCAACTGCATTCAAGAAATTTTAGAATTCGAGATGTTGAGCCCCAAAATCACCAAACGATGTTGATTACCCATAGACTTTGGCAAAACACGACCGCCTACGGAACAAAAGACTTGTGGGAGAAGACAACACTCGATTGGGTTCCCGGTTTGGGAGTCTAGAGTTGGATTTCGGCTAGGAAAAACTATTCCTTAAGAAACTAGAATTCCGCGATGTTGACACCCGAAATCACCAAACGGTGTCGGATTGAATGAACTTGGCACACCCTGACTGCCTTGGAACGAGAGAACTTGTGGGAGACAGACAGGACTTCGAATCGGTTCCCAGTTTTAGGAGTTAGAGCCAGATTTTTGTCTAAGCAAACTAATTCCTTTAAGAAACTTAGAATCACTACAAGAAATTAGTTTTTTAGAGAACTAATATTTAGGGACTAGTTAGATTTGGCCCCTAAAAATATCTTTTGGAGACAAATCAAAACTTAATGGTAATTTACTATAAAATACAAAAATGACTTCCTGTTAATGCTGTGTAACTTTTTGAGA